AGGGCACAAGTATGCTTGAATAAGTTGATATCACTGCGGTGCGTTGTAAGACGCCCTCTCAGTGATCTCCCAGTATGACCGATGTAACACGAGTCACACTCAGCACAAGGTATATGACAAATGACATTCACTTGTTTCAGAAGGGACAAGGGTACCAGGGTGTTTTAGTTTTTGAAAATATATTTCTAACAGTCTTGGCATTCTTAACTGCAATTTTAACAGGTATGTTCTTCTGTTTATACAGTTTAATAAGTTTGTCAGGAACTTGAGGGAAATAGGGTAAAGATGAGTAATGGGTGGCAGGAGTCCCAAGTGCAGTATTACGCAGAACAGTGCCATTCATGGAATTATTTGATATTATTCTAAGTTGGTCACCATTGGGTATATCATTCAAAGAGGAACCTAGCTTTGTACAAAAAGGTATTTGTTAATGAGAGAAGAAGGATAAGAATTCTCAATGAGAATATTTCTAAGTAATTGAAGAGATTCCATTCGATTAACCGGATGTGTCAATCTATTCAGCCTGCAGCTTAAAGCTTTAATTAGGTTTAATTTATATTTGAAAGGATGACAGGAATGGTAATTGAGGAACCTATTAGAGGCCATCGGTTTCCTATACCAACTTTAGATTATTCTGAAGGAGAAAACCAATTAAAGTCTCTCCTCTTTCATTCCTTCCATTTAGTACAAATTGTCCAAGTGATGTTTCTTCTGGACATGCTTTGATTCATGTTTTCACATTGAAATCACCCCATATTATCACGTATTGTGTGGGTACGTCGTTTAGGGCTATTGAGATATTGTCGCAGAATTATTCGACTTCTTCATCTGAATGGATGGTTGTTGGTGCATAGACTTGAATTATTTTAATGCTGTATCTTTTATTGAGTTGTAATGTTAAGTAGGCAACTCTGTTCGATATTCCCTTAATAGATGTAATGTAATGTAATGCCTCCCTCTAATGTTTCTTCATTACCCATACTATAGAAAAGACGCCCTATACTTCGGGTCTTCAAACATTCTCATTTCCTTCTCACTTCGCTGACTCCTATTATGTCTTATTTGATATTTGACATTTCACTCTCTATCTCTGTCTTTTTTCTGACAACATACCTCTCGCATTGTAGGTAGCAATATGCATCAGTATGTGTTTTTTGGATTTTGTCGTTTGCGAATTTTTGCCTCCCCCAGAATCCTTGAGGCAGACCTTATGATGTGTGGGACTTTCCATTACTGATCTACCCACCTGGGGTTCACTATCATATATCACTTTACAGCATTTATAGACTAGTCGAATAAAATTGTAATATATGTAAAAAGTAAAGAAATTCGTTTCAGAACAAATCCTTAAGATAATTGAAGTTTTGGTATGAAAATATGGATGGATTTATGTCAAAAGAATCAGTTTAAAATAATGGAGTCATTGTTTAATCATTGACTTTATAGCAAAAATCACCGAAAATCACTATTTTTAATTTTTGTCAATACTTCTCTTCTAATTTCTTAATCTTAATCTTAAATAGTTTTGTTTTCTTGAAAGTTTATAAAAAAATGAAACCTTCAAAATTAAATTGGGTTGATAATTTATTTAAACAATTGTGAAAAACTGCAAAAACAAAAAAAATTTTGAAAAAATATTTATTTAAAAATTCAATTCCAATTGTTATTTAGAAAGTTGTTTATTTGATAAGGAAAAACGTGGTTGTTTTCGTCACCTTAGAACACCTTAAAAAATCTCATTTTGTTCGTTTTTATCTATATTTTCAAGATATGCAAGTTGAAATACCATTTTCAGAATTATAACTGACTAAAATACTTCAGATAGGTCAAAACGACCAAGTTCGCGAAACTTGAGCATCGAGGTCACGTACCGACAAACGTGGGCTTGATGGCCAAACCCTTCGGGTGCTCAGCCGACGAGGAATACAAGAATTATTTTGCCAATTCGGCGGCTGAGTGAGCGAGCACACACAATCCAGTCGGGGACTTACCGACTTAGGTCGGTGACTCGCTGTCCGGAACACACATTTTGGGACACAAGTCCAAAGTCATGTAAAAATTAACTTCAGTCATTCATAGGGAGAGAAGCTCTTCTAGCTACCCTTAAAATCAGGTAACTTAACCTCATAAAGTAAAACAGAGGATGTCCCATTACCCAAGACATCCAAAGTAACTTTCAGTACAAAGCCTCCTCGTTCGTTATGTTCTGCGATGGGGACGGGTGGTTGGTTATAGCTTGGGAGTCAGCACTCCATTATGGAGTGTGACCGCTTTGATCTTCGGACATGTGGGTCCCACTGTTCCATTGGAACACACATGTCACTCGGAGCTGGGGTTGTACAAAAATTGCTTACTCCCTAAAATTTAGTTTAAATAATAGCCTAATTTGTTTATAAAGTTTTTTATTAATAAGTTTGCGAGAAATGAATATGAAATAATGCCATTTCAATATTCGTTTAGCTCGCAATTTTTCACAAATAAAAAAAAAGTTATTGTAGGATCACTTGTGATCGAGAGAGCAATGTTTTTCATAATTTCATTTGTACAGACTTGCATAGCATGAGCACAGAATAAATAACAATAAGAATGCCCACTCTCAGATGCCGTTTTTACAATGCACTTTAGTTTGCGATACTTATTTATAACATAAAATAAAATTTGAATTATGGTTTTGTTTGGAATAATAATTACTTGAGAATAATAATTATGATTGGGATCCAAAACAATACCTAACCTAATCCTAATATCAGTAAAAACCTAATAACCGGTTTTTACTTTAAAAATAAAAAACCGTTTATAACCGGAACAAAAAAAACAACCGATAAAACCGGTTATTGCGAAGTAAAAAAACCTGTTTTCGGTTAAAACCGGTAGGTTTTTCCCATCTCTATTTCCCAGTACGCGCAAAGTCAATAGATGCTGATTAATCCACTTCCCGCTTACAATCAGTAATTATGGTGGTAATTAGGTATATTCATTTTTATTTATTTGTTTGTTCGTATTGGCGTTATTAGAAAAAGAAACAAGTTAGTTACTAAAAAATCATTTTTATTTGAATTAAAAATTCATTAAGAAGCAAAATAACCAAAAAAATGTGCACAAAAAACATTAATTCTAATTTTAAAACAAATTCAACAATACAGAACTCAAAATTTTAAAATTGTATGACATCGTTCAAAACAACTTACTACACACAAAGACACATTACACTTCTGACACAAGTACCTTGTGTCTTTTCTAATTTTGCGTTTGGTACAAACGACACATTTTTTGACAAAGGTCGCCTGTTTTCTCGTAACGGATACAGCATAGGAAAATTTCTTCTATCAACCGTAATGGATGATCACCAGCATTCGGTCTGTTACTTTGTGACTGTCGAGAGCACTTTGTTGATATTTTTGTAAAATTTGTTCACCAAGTCCTCTGGAAATCCAATAGAGGAAGGTTTTTCCTAGTTTTGACTTTGTAAATAGCATGTGAATTTAGTACAACCAGGTCTCTCTCTCTTCAATCCTGACCCCCAGGGGGAGTGTAGTGGTCGACGTGATGTCGTGTATTGTCCGTCTCCAGAGATCTCTGTCTCTGGTCATTTCTTTTAATTGATGCATAGGTCTTTGGCATATTCCTGTAATTTGGTCTATCCATCTTGTTGGTAATTTTCCTCGTGATCTGCGACCTTTTCACGAAAAAAGACCTTTTTGTACCATTTCACGTTTTTCCTTACGGATTCAGTAGAACTTAGGAGCATGTCTGTTCTGTCGACTCCACCCATATTCATATTGTACGCGATAATACATTAAGGTTTTTTAACTTCTTGGTTTCTGCTATTTTTGGTTTTATATATATTAGCTTCATGCATGGTTGTTAACATTACAACGTTTTTTTATCTTTCCATTTGAGTGCCAAAGATTCGTCAGTAGAAAAGTATTGTATAGAACCTTTTCCAGATTATTTTTAATTGGCTATATTTTCGATTCTGATTTACAGTTCCGCAACAATTAGTCTTTTTTTCGAATAAAGCTTCAGCCAGTAATGGATTGCTGTACTAGTGGCCACTGCCACTGTATCACCGGCAGTACCGAAAAGTAGTGGCGTAGGTGACTAAATACAGGCTTGCACACGCATCGATTTTTTACCGGCCATTCCAGTCGATTGCTCGGTGAAATTGTAGGTACGAAGCAAATCTACAGCACACACACACACACACACACACACACACACACACACACACACACACACACACACATGCGATTAAACTAGTTTTGATAGTGAGTGTTAATTACAATTGCAATGGGTAATTTTCATGGAGTTCATCAAATAATGCAATAGAGATTCTGAAGAAGTTGAAAAACTTAACACCATCACGCTTTAGTTCTTCAAAATAGTGTAGAATATTCCCTTGCACCACCACTTGCGCTTAATCCTACGGTGCTGAATAGGGCATATTCAGCACCGAATATATAAAAACTTAATTCCAAAACGATGCCGAAGATATTGGCGAAACATAAGGCTTTCATCTATGGAAGTATTTTCAAATGGATAGAAGATTTTTTTTAATATTCCTAAAAAATACGGTCATTGAAGTTACAGTTATTGTCATTGAAAAACGGATATTTCTCAATAACTGAAAATATCTATCTCGAGGCTGTTGAAATGTTTATGTTTCTAATAGCATCTTTGATCCAATAATCACGCAGTCCCTGCTATTTTAGTTGTGGGATCAGCAAAGATACGGCAATAAAACATACATATCATCAATATCTGTGTTTTGCCAGTTTTTCATGTGAAGGCCCAGGCATTCCAGAATTGGCAATATCACCGAATATATTGGTTTGTTCAACGACTTTTTCCATTATCTATTGTGTAAAAAAGGCTTAAATACTTGTAGCATAGATGGAACGTCCGACAATGCTTCAATACAACATCCAGAGGCATCGTTTGAAAAATTATGTATTGTAGGAGCAATACATGCCACTCGAAAGGATCCCATTCTTTTTGTTTTATTTTTCGTCTTTTGGGTTGTGGAATATCTCGGTGTCACTTTCTGAACTGTCATGGTTTTTCTCACTACCACTGCACGTCGGTTCGCAAATATTCTCCCACCAGTAGCTGTTCTCTGATTCAGCATCAAAGTTTTTGTCTGAATCACTGTTAAAAGCGAGTTCTAATAATTCTTCTTCAGATAAACCCTTTTTACGAAACATATTGTGAAAAAACGTGCAAATACAATGCGTATGCCTACGAAGTATGACTTCACTGACGCAAAATCAACAAGTATCGACCCGTATCGGAGCTAGTAAGAACTAAGAATCGATGCTTGCAATCCCCACTATTGATATTTTGTTGGTGCTCTGTTACGTGAATGATCACAGTCAAGAGTCAAGTTATCCATGTGCTGATTAATACGTTTTCCGTCTCGAAGTGCATCCTCTGTCCCTGCGGACTTATACGTCTCCCGGGTATCGGACTCGTTATGATTTCGCGTATATATCAGTTTTCTGTTACGAAAGGGTTAAACCGGGTTAATTTTTTCTATGCACAGCAGATAAAATTTTACTGAACAGCACTGGTTCCGTTTAAAACATAGCTAATTCCGTCTGTGCGAACGAGATGTGAGTACTTATCCTGACAAGCAGAGTGGGCATTCTGATTGTTGTTATATTGGCAACATGAATTTTGAATTAAAATAATTTTAATAATTTTTCGTCTAGCACAGATCTTGTATGGAAATATCGCATGGATATGCTCAGTTTCATAATCTGTCTTGCAGCTCTTGCTTAGCATGAAAATTGCATAATGTAAAGTCGACTTTATATAGGCCAATGAACGCCTTCGTTACTGATGTTTTATTACAATGATATTGCTGTATTATTTCTAATACTTTTTATATAATAACTAATATTCTATTATAATCTATACGATTTCAGTATTAGTTGATAAGTTAATCATTTGCTGGATCCTGTACGTTTATGTAAATAGATCATTTTCGTTATTAAATGAGGTAGTTAAAACGTTATTTCACTAATTTTACTAGTTTCAAGGTTATCTATTTTATAAATAATAGGTATATTTCAATTTTATCGGTAAGTGCCTATATATTTTAATAAGGTATAATCTTGTTTTGCTCCCTATATATAATATAAATAAAAATTACGCAATAAAAATAAAGGCGACTGTAATGGTTGGTAGAATATTATTTATGTGTTTATGAGGATATCAGTAGATTAAACTAGAACATTAGGAACTAGGTTAAATTACAGGAACTGTTTCTGTTCCTTTATAGTAGAGGAAATGAGTACTTGCACCGTCATACTTCGAATATTCCAAAACAGCTTCTTTACTTAAATCAAGGGCGGATCGAGAGAGGCCCCCTAAGAATTTAAAAAAATATAAATTTAAATATTTGTAGTTTAAACGTAATACTTTTCATCACAATGTATTCTCCTAAGGTTAAATGTATGTAATAATGTGAGTTTTTCTTAATGTTATTTCCGTTCATATTTTGGCTTTATCACTAGGCAAGACTTTCAAGTCACTTTTCAAATTTTCAACATCTATATTATTTTTTGATCTTCTTTTGTATTCCTTCATTAATGTCAAAACGTTCTTTCATTATTCTCTATTTAGAGCATGCCGCGTTCATTTTCACGTGAACACTGGCACACATGTTTCATAAGTCTGTTAAGATGTCATCTAGATATTGATTGCTTTTTTGCCGTTTCCAGTAGCTATAGCCACAGTGTCACTCATGTTGAAGCGATTTCTTCCATCTCCATTACATGGACTAGAAGGCTCAGTTTGTTGTATTGTACAATGTTCTTAATATAATTGGTAACAATTCAAATTTAAAGACATCATTATCATTCCCATCGAGTATAGTGCATAATCTCTTTATTTCAAAACAGCTTAGCATTTCCTCTGCCTTTTTTAATGCCCACACTTTTCTACCGCATACATTAGGACTGATCTGAAGCTATTTTCTTGTGGCATCTTAATGCAATTACTATTTTCATGGGAATAAGCCACAATATACATAAGTTTAAAACGAAAAATGAAAGACGAAAAGCTCAGAGAAGATGGGATGTAGATAAAATAAAGAGAAAGAAGTAAACAGAAGATTTGTAATAGAAGTAAAAGCAGAGATGCCAGTACAAAGAACAAACAAATGAAGGAACAGTGAAAAAAAATCAACAAGGAATAAACAAAGCAGCAGACAAAGTGGTTGGCAAAATGAAAAAAGAAATACTGGGTTTGACGATGAGTGCAAATTAGCAGTGGAAGAAAAGAATAATT